GGAAGTTGTCTTTTCACTGATGCAACACGTGACCCAGTATAATGAAGGCGGAAAAAAACTCCACAGCACTTGAGCCACCGTCTCACCATCCATTCTGAGCGGCCCTGAGGGGAAGCGTCTGTAATCGAGCCTCCTGCTCGTCCATTGTCGGCGAGCAGACAGAACCGGTTATAGAGAAAGGATCAGTGATACAGGTCAAGAGGGTGGAGTGCCACTGGAAGCTCCCTGCGCACACACACACACACACACACACACACACACACTTATAAACACATCAAACATGAGCTCGGTGGAGTCGTGTTAGCAGAACAGTGAATCATTGTTTCTTAAAACCTGCTGAAGAGTCGTAGACACCTGAACGGAATCTTGTCCTTTTTCTTAACTTTCATTTCACTCTCTGCCAGATTTTCAGTATTTTGAACAATGATCCAAATCGTCCTTTTTGCAGCAACACATACAAAAAATGACGTGAGCCAATCACCTTTCTTCTTTCTGTCCTCAGAGTTTCCCCGCTGCAGAAGTCAGAGATCGTAGACATGGTGAAGAAACACGTAAAAGCCATCACCCTGGCCATAGGAGACGGCGCCAATGACGTGGGCATGATACAGACGGCCCACGTCGGAGTCGGGATCAGCGGCAACGAGGGCATGCAGGCCACCAACTCCTCCGACTACTCCATAGCCCAGGTGGGCAGTGGACACGTCACAGAGACACCACACTGACCACCACACTGACCACCACACACCAAAACCCAAGCTGCCGAGGTGTCTCTAGGCGAGACACCGAATCCTTTCCTGCTCACGGCTCAGTTGATCCTGATCCCTGACCTCCTCCTTCTTTGGAGGCAACAATGAAAAGAGTTTATTTACAGATGTCACTCAAACATGTTGTTGTCACGACAGAGGCTCAGGTTTAGAGAGGTTTGTGTTTTCTCAGACAAACCGACACAGGAGTCTGTGGTCTGAGGAAATGTTCACATTATTGTGTTGCAATGAATTAGGTAAGAATTTATTTTTTATGATTTAGGACACATGTGTCAAACTTAAGGCCCGGGGGCCAAATGCTGTCCGCGAAGTCAATTTTTATTTATTTTTTTATCTACGATCACAGTGAAATTTTTGAGTAGAATTCTGGTTGTAGTGTAAAATTTTAAATGGATTAATGCCTAATTAATAACTTATATAATTGCTGTTTTTTTGTTTTTTTTGTACATATCTCACAGTGACAGTAGATGTTTTTTTTTTTTTTTTTTTTACATATCTCACAGTGACTAACAGCATGAACTCCAGCCTGAGGCCACAGGCTCCTTGTCACTTTCACCTGATTGAGTTGTTTATCAGTTAACCTGCGGGGGCATCTTACACAGCTTTATCTACACCACCTAACACATGTCCTGACTCTCCAGCCTGTCAGTGACATTCTTCTGACGCTGCTCGTGTTTCCTCTCTGTCTCTGCTCATCACTCTGTCCTGGATCTCTGTATCTGCTGCTCTGTTTCACTCTCTCTCTCTCTCTCTCTCTCTCTCTCTCAGTTCTCGTACCTTGAGAAGCTGCTGCTGGTCCACGGGGCGTGGAGCTACAACCGTGTTACCAAGTGCATCCTCTACTGTTTCTATAAGAACGTGGTTCTCTACATTATTGAGGTAAGAGCACACACACACACACACACTGTGTTATGTTGACAGAGATGCTTCGCAGCTGTTTGTAGACACGGCTGACACTGATGGACGAGGTGCCTCTCTGGTGTCTGCTTTCTGTCTCCACACACACACACACACACACACACACACATACAAAGGAAAAAAATGCAGATCAGCAGTGATGAGACCTTGGCTCAGAATGTGTGTGTAAGAGTTTCTGGAGTGTGTGTGTGTGTGTGTGTGTGTAGTCTGTGTTATTTGGGGTGATGGTCAGCTGTGCCCCCCCACCCCACCCCACCCCCGCCTGACATTAAGGATGACAGCAGGTGCATGTCCTCATGAGAGACTACTGTCCCCCGCAAAACACTACTGTGTGTGTGTGTGTGTGTGTTTCTGACATGATTGGCTCCAAGCAGAGAACTCTGGGTCAAAGGTTGGAGACTCTGTCCACTTAGTGGAGACAAAAAGGGGGAGGGGTTCACGTGTGTGTGTGTGTGTGTGTGTGTGTGTGTGTGTCTGCCCTCACCCTCAGGCTC